GGGCAACCCATACAGGGCGACACAGATGACGAATCGAACTTCATTCAACTTCTTAAATTGAGGGGAAGTGACGAACCCCTCATTTTAAGGTGGTTGGAGAGGAAAGGCGAGAAATATACATCACATGACATTCAAAATGAAATAATAGCGATCATGGCAAATCACGTTATCCGTGATATTGTGTCTGACATTGGAAACGGATTTTTCTCTATCATTAGTGATGAATACACAGATGTAAGTAACAAGGAACAACTCACAATATGCATTTGATGGGTGGATAAGCATCTAAATCCTCACGAAGATTTCTTTGGATTTTTTAACATACCTAATATAAGTGCTGAGACAATAGTTACAGCTATAAAGATGTATTAGTTCGACTGCAGTTATCATTAGCTAATTGCAGAGGGCAATGCTATGATGGAGCCAGTAATATGCTTGGGTCAAAAAGTGGCGTAGCCAAGAGAATTCAAGAACTTCAGCCCAAAGCTCATGCAACTCACTGTCATGGTCATTCATTAAGTCTGAGTATGAAGGACACAACGAAAAACTGTAAGGTGATATCAAATACTATGGATACAGCAAAAGAGATTGTGACCCTAATAAAGTTTTCTCCAAAACGTGAAAATCTACTGGGAGAAATACAAAAAAACCTCGAAGAAGGAGAACTGGCAACACATGGCATAATAAAGCTGTGTCCTACAAGATGGACAGTACGCGCATCATGTTTCCAACGAATCCTGGACAATTATTCAGCTCTTCTTCAAGAATGGATGGTTTGCCTAGATGAGAAACTCCAAGCGGATATACGTGGACGGATAATCGGGTGCCAAGCACAAATGAAAACATATGACTTCTTCTTTGGACTAAATTTGGGTGAACGGTTGTTTTCCCACACTGACAACTTGTCCAAAACATTACAGAGTACCAAGATGTGCGCTGCAAGTGGACAACGGCTTGCCAATCTTACAAAGGAAGTTCTACAAAAGATACGGAGTGACGAAAGCTTCATATTATTCTACGAAGCAATTTTAATAAAAAGCAAAAACATTCCATCAATTTCAGAGCCAACATTACCAAGGAAAAGACGTGCACCTGCTAGGTTTGAGATTGGGACTGGGATGCCATCATACCCCACGACATCTCAAGATTATTACAGGCAAATATATTTTGAATGCATTGACTTCATGATAAATGCTATTGAACAGCGGTTTAACCAGCCAAGTTTTAGCGTATACGAACAGATGGAATCTTTCTTGCTCAAAGTTCTAAACGATCAAGACTACTCCACAGAGTTGCAGTTTCTTGAGGACAACTACAGTGGTGATTTAGACATTGGGGCATTGAAATCCCAACTTGAAATTTTTGAATTGCTCTTAAAGGATGCTGATTGTGTTTGTTTTTACGACATGTTAGTAAAAATCAGAGAGTTGCCTGAACCAGAAAAGAAGATGATAAGTCATATTATTACCATCTGTAAGCTTATCCAGGTTAACCCAGCAACAAGCGCGAGTGCCGAAAGATCGTTTTCCGCCGCTCGAAGGTTAAAAACATGGCTTCGTTCGACCATGTCCCAAGAACGGTTGAACAACCTGACGGTGATAAACGAGCATAAGGAGAGAACAGACGGACTTTGCCTCGTTGATATTGCGAATGAGTTTTGCGAACGAAACGAAAACAGGAAACGAAATTTTGGTCGCTTCGTCGAGTCGGACTGTTATCAACATTCAAACATATGCGCTATTTGCCAAAAAGAAGCCTTAGGTTAAATATGAAGATTTTGGGGGGTTTTTGAAACAAGCGTAAACGATAATTTTTTTATTCAAGAACAACGTTTCGAAGCCATCATAGCCTCATTTTCAACTTCATGCAAATTAATAATTTTACAGTTTCGTTCAATTAAATGATGTTTACAAATAATTGCATATTACGCAAGCTAATTAGTTTGAAATAACTCGCTCAAAGGCGCCAAAATTACAATACCTGACACGAATAAACTAACACATTCACAAAATAGAATATAACATTGCTGAGTAATACTAAACAGCTCAGCACGTATCGAGTCCGACTACTTGTTCAATGATGGTATAATGTCTCTGATAAAGAGCATTTCAAACAACAAACCCTCAAACTTCCCTCGACACTTCTTCAAAACCGTGAAAGAACTTTCGATTGTCGCCGCTTCTTCCCCATAGCTCTCCTTCATGTGTTGTTCAATCACCGACCCCTTGTGTTCGTCAAGTGTCGGCATGTATGGCGACATATAACCTGCGTCACACAGATCACATTTGAATTGATAAACAACAAATCAATTTATAAACAACAAATTTTATCGCTTACGTTTGTTTCAAAATCAATATCAAAAAGTTTGTTTATAAAGATTTTTATTTTTGTTGTGTTAAGTTTTTTAAGGAGGGCTTAAAATTGTTAAGATACTCTTAGTTTATAAAGTAGCCTAGTAAAAGGATTGCTTAGAAGTTTGTAAAAGGTCTAAATTTTGTTACTTTTTATGACGAAGGTCTTGGAGATTTTTTGCTAAAGTTCCTCCAAAAATGCAGGAAATAGCGTTTAAGGTAATAGAAAATTGAACATTTTCCTTGGAGGTTTTATTGATGATTTAGCCCCCCCCACTCTCTAATACGCTCCGCGGGCCCTGAGATTATTTATTAGAAACATGTAGACTATTCTCGCAACGCACAAAACAAAAAACAACCTTACTGATTGTGGATTGCCGTTTGTATTAGCGAACGTATAAAAGTCAAAAGTGAAAGAATATAAACATATAAATATTTATACATATGTGTGCAACGGAGCCAGTATGGTTGTCCTTATAAACAGACAACGGAAAAATATTGGCAAAATAAACCATATTAATAAGTATTAAAGTCGAAGAATTACCAAAACCTTGAACGATAAGCAAGTGACAAACACTTCATATTTTACAAATATTACTACTGTATAGAGTGAACATGTCATGCCGTCGACTCTCAAGTCATGCCGCGATGGCAGCTCTTCTCCAGCGCAGAAAATATTTTTATAGCGGAACAAACCCACACTGAGTAAGCATTTTAAATTTTTAAATACGTTCGTATTATTTCTGTATTTTGTTTACATCATGTTCTCTGAGATTTATAAACAGGTTTTTTTGTCTAGCCAATCACATCAATTCATGTGACTGCTAATTATAACTAACCAATCATGTGCTTGGTACAAATTTTGTACCAAAGGAAGAGAGATTTGTATCGCGTGCCACCAGAGGTTCTCTTCGCCTCGCGTAAAATAAATACGAGCTGGAATAAGGCGAAAGATACAGAACCTCTGGCAACCAGGGTACGCGTTACCGTATCAACTATTGGTCCTCTCGCACCTTTGTCGCTCGCAAGTCTGGCTGCAGCGTGTAGGGGACTGATATAAATTTAAACCATGTTTAAACGTTATTACGGTACGGTAAGTAAAAGCTAGCGCTATTTGGAATACTGAAAACTGTAATTAAATTTCGCTATTTCTTTAGTATGAAGCGGTTACCTGACCTTAAGTCCTTAAAATAGTATTCTAATTTTTTGACCTTCGACATTTTACCCTCGCCCTCGACATTTTACCCATGCCAAACATATGTTGAAGTCATGAAGACGCCGTTTCTCGCATCAGCCTAGCTGAATATATGCATTAAATTCAATTTTCAAACGTTTGGGTGCCTGGCAAGAATTTCTGAATTATGCGCCTGGCAAACATTGCGGATGGCAAACAAACCCAATGCTAAGGCCCTTTAAAAGACAATTCGCGGGGTTGATGTCGATAATTTTACAGTATAAATTCTTGGCCAAGTTATTATTAACTTCACTGCCGATACTCGCGTCAGGTCGGGTGCCTTCATTTTTTCCAACAACCCGCGTGGCCGTCAAAGTGATCGAGGTGAAAGCGCAATATCTCTCCAGTAAAAGTCTGCGTGTACATCTTCAGAAAGTTAGAAATATAACGAGAATTATGGATTTTAATGAAAAATTGCAATGCAGTTTTAGTTTGTTTGTTTAATAAAAACATCATCTGGCAGTCAGAAGACTGAATTACATGACGTTAAGTGTTACAAGGTTATAAATAGTAAAAAATTCTATATTACAATGCAATTTAAAAATTGTTAATATATACTATATATCATATACTTAAATGTACTAATCTATATGAGTTAAAAATTCTAAAATGTTCAAGGAACATCTAATTTGTAATGTTTCTTAGCATAAAAGTTGATAAAAGAGTTTCCGAAACGATTTGTATTTGCTGGTAAAACTTCAAAAGATCTTTCTTTTCGTAATTCTCTATTGCCTGCTTTGGATGGTAAAAGTTTGGCAAGTTTATGATCATCATTTAAAACAATGTCGTTGAAGAGATTATTGGATAGATACTCCCGTCTGTTTTCAAGAGTGGAAATACCAGCGATGTTAAGAGCCTCGTCGTAAGACAATTCATAGAATATTATTTTCATTGCTCGCTTCTGTATACGTTCAATGTTTTTTGCAAGATTTCGTGGCAGGGAACTATGGAATAATTGGCACGCATATTCGAGGACAGACCTTATACAGCTGCAAAAAAATTTGACCAAATCTGCCGAAGCGACATCAGCACGTTTGAGTTGCCTCAACAAATATAAACGTTTAGCTGCTTTGGAGACAATTGAATTTACATGGTCTATCCATTTAAGGTCATTTCTTAATATAACTCCAAGCGATTTGATACTTGTCACTCTTTCCAAATTTCGGTCACCAATACGTATAGGTTCAAAAACAGGTGGTAATCGTGAAAAAGATATTACCATTTCTTTGCATTTAAATGGGTTTAGTTGAAAGGAATTGTCCATAGACCAAGTAGTAATATCATCGATATCCATTTGTAAAGTACTTTGTTCGTTTTTTTCAACAATTTCAGAGACCGTAGTATCGTCGGCAAATTTCCACATTTCTGAAAGGTGATTATGTAACACAAGGTCATTTATCATGGCTAAGAATAGCCAAGGCCCAAGTCGTGTGCCTTGAGGGACACCAGCTGGAACTTGGAGCCAGTCTGAGAAACAATTATCACTTAGTTTGACCCTTTGCCATCTATTACGTAAAAAGTCAATAATCCAGTTAACCACACAGGGCTTAATACCAAGGCTGAATAATTTCGCAACTAATGTGGTGTGATCTACCATGTCAAATGCTTTTTTATAGTCAAGAAATACAGTGCGAACAGATGAACCACTTCCATCTGTTGCACTCAACCAACAATGGAGCATCGATATCAAGGCAAGTACAGTGGAAGAATTTGGAATAAAGCCAAATTGTTGGGGATCAACAACCTTTAACAGGGGCCCCCCATGATTTTTACGTGACGCGTGTTTAGCTGTTATTTCAAGCGTTATCACGTGATCAAGTTATTTTTGGTGCGTGAAATCGTGAATTTAAATGTTGGCGAGAGTAGGGAAAAGGCCAATTGAAACGGCGGATTTCGTGATTACTTTACCAAGTAACGTGATTACGTGCACCAGAATTGAAGCTAACTTTAAAAAATCGCCCCCAAAAGGCAGCAAAACAGAACAAGAGAGCAACTTATTTGGCCTTAATAGCCCTTAATAATGATTTCAGGCTATTTCGACGACTCGGCACATTCCCACTTCCGGACTGCTACTTTCAAACTTTCGGAGGACTTTAAACTGCCGAAGTCGGAAGGGAGACATCATTTCTTCTTGGTGGACGTTCGAGATATGGAAGACATACCTAATTTTAGTGTGCAGTGATAACCAATTTGTGCAGTGATAAAAATGATTGTGCAGTGATTAAATGTAAAATGTGCAGCAATAAAATTTGCTGTGATAAATTGTTAATTTTATGAAGAAAATGAGGCAATGAGCAGAAAAAACTGAACTAAAAACTCGTCTCGTCACTAGAAAGTATTAATAATCAAAACATTTTAAATGAGAATAACTTGAATGAAATTGAAATAATAACTGCCAATTTATCGAACGTCAGCATTAATATTATACTTAAGTTTCATCAAATGAACAAGTCTCCCATCAAAGATCTCTTTATGAGCTTGGATGTTGGTGTGAATGATACTTAACTTTTTGTAATTATATTAGTGTATAATCTTCAGGATTCTATAGAATGCCCCCGCACATTGAAAAAAGACCCTTTGAGAGAGGCTAAATTACAAAATTTTCTGTGGGTACATGCCCCTGGAACTCTTTTACAGTTTATCACATCTAAGCCGCCTCTTATTTGCCAAGAAAAAAATATTTTGTTCCTGCAAGCATATGATTATCAAACTACGCTGTCATAGAAAGTCGTAACAGCAAGTGCTGTCAAGGCCGCCCAGAGGAAGGACAGGGAGGGGGCAATTTGAGCTGGACCCCAGTTAAAGGTAGCCCAAAAAAGAATTACATTGAAATATTCATATAGGTATAAGTGCCAACAAACGTCCAGAATGCAGGATTTGGCCATAATTTCTGGCACCTGAGATTTCAAAATTTCCCTGGGGAGAATGCCCCCGGATCCCCTTAATCATACTGTTAGAAGATGGAATCACGAGGGGTCACAACTCAATTTTTGCCCTGGCCCCCCAAATTTCCCTGGGGGGCGCCGTGCAGTGCATGTTGATTGGTTACATGTTACTAAAAATGGTGCGTTCAGTAATTTTGAGGGCGTGGCTTCTGCTCGGCTAAACTTTGCACAAAAATGTGCAGTGATAAAAAATTCTTAAAATTAGGCATGATGGAAGAACAGTTCGTTTCAATAGTAGATTTGCTTGAGGTGAGCCGCTAATTTCTTAAGATTGTTCATTAACGACGTAGTTTCATGTTTCTCGATTTGCCAGTTTTAGATGCTCAATGAATTAAACAGTATGTTTAAATGCGTTTCAAAATACCTGTTGACCATGTTGTCTTTACCAATGGTAGTCTTGTTGGAGATAAGATTAAAATATTTGATCAGAAAATTCGGTAAATTAAGTGTCAAACAGAAAAATGCGCACCATCAGTACCATTTTCTGCACATGTTCGACGCCCTAATACATTCTATCAAATTCAGTAAGTATGCTATAGTTTTTGCCCCCGCGTGAACGTGAAATTAGCTATTTCTTTTTCGTGACGTGTTATTCGGAATTTTTTTTGGCGTGAATGCGTGAATTCAAGGGGCTCATGGGGGGCCCCTATATTAGGGTATTAAAGAGACACGACTAAGTGAATTTCAACACAGAATTTCAATCAGACATTTCAATTTTTCATTATTAAATGTATTTTTGACGTTGAAGTTACCTTCATAACTTTAGTTCATTCATGTTTGTGATTGATGTTCAAGCGTACATTTTTAGTATGCAGCATATTCGCAATATTCGCGTATTCGGATTTCGGCAGCGTATATATAGCACATTCAAATGTTGGATTACTGGATAGCGCACAATTACTGCTAGTGAATACAGCGCAATCCGCTTTGCGTGTTGTGGTTTCCCCCTCTGTCTGCTGGCATTTCATAGTCAAGTGCGGCGGATAAATAAACCATTGAATAAACTAAGTGCATCACACGCAGTCATATCAAAACTGACAAAAAGAATCGCCGCGCAATTACGAAACATGTTTTACTTCGTAATATGTAGTGCTACAACGATGTTCATTCTTTGTTTTATTAACTGTGGTTAGTTAAAAATCAAAATTCCTTGCATATAATATTTTATACATTGAATTGCGCCCCCCCCCCTGTAAATTATTATTATGTATATCTCCTGTGGTGCAAAATGCTCTAATTTGCATAAATTATGCTCGGTTCCAGGTTCCGGTTCCAGGTTCCGGTTCCTGTATCGCTGTATCGTTGAATCGCTGTATCGCTTTTTAGTAGTAGCCGTTTTAAACGATGTCCGTATCTATGTTCCTACTTGACTGAGATAATCCATGCAGCTTGGTCACGCGGTGTTGTTCCATCTGAATGGAAAAAAGCATGCACAATATTAATTCACAAGAAAGGAGAAACAAACGACCCAGCAAACTTTCGACCAATTACTCTTGAATCCATCCCGCTTAAAGTCTTCACATCATGTCTTCGAAATAAAACATTTGAATTCCTGTCAGACAATAAATATTACATAGAACAAAACATCCAGAAAGGTTTCACTCCAAAACTCTCAGAAACACTAGAACATACTGCTCAGATGGCACATATAATTAACACAGCGCGTACCAAGCAACGATCTATAGTTATTACATTACTCGATCTTAAAAATGCATTTGGCGAAGTCCATCATAACCTCATTTACGAAGTCCTTGATTATCATCACGTTCCTAATCACATAAAGAACCTTATCTGCAGTCTTTACACTGATTTCCAAACTTCCATCTTAACCGAACAGTTTAACACCCCCTTCATTACAGTCGGTCGTGGCGTTCTTCAAGGCGATTGTCTCAGTCCACTTTTATTTAACATGTCATTCAATACTTTCATACAACATATTAAATCTGAAAAATACCGTCAGCTTGGTTTTTGGAAATTAAGTGAAGTTGGCATTCCGTGCAATCCTATACATTGGTTTCAGTTTGCAGACGATGCTGCTGTCATCAGTAGCCAAGAGAAAGAAAATCAAATGCTCCTTAATCGTTTTACAATCTGGTGTCAATGGGCTAATATGATTATACGCGTTGACAAATGTTCAACATTTGGCATTAAAAAACACTTAACTAAATCTATCCAGTATTTGCCCAAGCTTTTCGTTAATAACGATCTTGTACCCAGAACCGAAATGGGCAAATCTTTCCGTTACTTAGGTCGCTATTTCGATTTCAATATGTCTGATGAGGAACACAAATCGGAATTACTCGACGTGTTTAATGACATCATGAATAAAATTAATGAACTACCTTTACACCCGAAAAATAAAATTCTTACTTGCTGTCAAAGATATCCTGGGACTTCACTGTTTCTGATATATCTAAGACCTGGATCTGCGAAACGTTAGACAGTATTGCGACAAAATATATCCGAAAATGGCTGGAACTTCCTGTCTCTGCAACCCTTAGCAACGTGTTGCTTCCACAAAACAAATTTGGTCTGAATATTATTCTCCCTTCGACAAAATTTATCCAATGTCAAACTGTCTCTCGATCAGCTTTAAAATACTCACCAAACGTAGATATTAACAATCTATGGGCGGTGACGAGCACCAACAAGAACATACAGTATGACATTTACAAAGACACAAAAGACGTACTTAAGGCAGTTAGAAAAGAAAACGAACAAAGACTTCAAAACCACCTCATTTCGCAAGGTTCTTTCTTTTCCAGTATCATGAATCATTCCACATCCACATTCAACTCTTTATGGTCATCCGTTCAGAGCAAACTTCCGAAAAACATTTTTAACTTCACCATCCGATATATCAATAACACACTTCCAACACGAAAGAACCTATCAAAATGGGGACTATCATCAACATCCGATTGCTCTTTCTGCTCCTCACCTGAAACGCTGCTCCATGTGATTGCTGGATGTAAGACATATTTAGACGAAGGCCGGTTTACATGGCGACACGATTCTGTTTTAAATTTCCTCGCATCCACTCTTACTGCTGTGAAAAATTCCACACTTTACGCGGACATTCCTGGTTTTATGAATCCATCTGTTATCACGGGAGATCGTTTACGACCTGACCTTCTGCTGGTGACTGAAAACAGATGCCTATAAATCCTCGAGCTTACAGTCGGTTATGAATCCAATCTGCTAGTTAACGCCAATCGTAAGCGTCAAAAGTACCGTGATCTAATCAATGAGCAGGAAGCAGATTATGATAAAGTCAAGTTCATCAATTTATCCTTGAGTACCCTCGGAGTTTTTGGCCGATCTTGTGAAAATTTCGATGGCATGCTAAGTAGCCTTAAATGTGATGCCAAGTATAGTAAATACATAAAAAAGCAAATCGTGAACATATGCATACGAACATCATATTATGTATTTTGTAAACGAAACAAGGTGTGGGATAACCCAAAATTAATGTTAATATAATCCTTCTTAAAATAATTATTGTACAATAAATATATAGTATCAATTCAAGTAGACATTGATAAACTACCTGTAAAGCGAGGTTTATCATTGTAGTTGTATATATCCTAATAATCAATAAATAAAGTTTCCATTATTATTATTATTATTATTATTATTATTATTATTATTATTATTATTATTATTATTATTATTATTATTATTATTGTAACCACCTTATCAAGAACCTGGGTCACTGAAAATATGGATTCTGTGGTGAACAAGTACGTACGTAAATGGCTTGAAATACCTATATCAGGAACTCTATCTAACGTCTACCTTACCAGTAACAAGTTTGGTCTAAATATCTACCCGCCGTCAATTAAGTTTGCTCAGTGCCAAACAGTTGCTCGTAACGCCTTAAAGACCTCTCCAAATCATTCCATAAAAGACCTCTGGAAAACAACATCTGAAAGCAAAAACATTCAGTACGACGTTTACACCTCGACAAAGGAAGTCCTTAAAACTTTTACGTCCGGACAAGAAGACAAACTGCAGAATCATCTGATTTTGCAAGGCTCCTTCTTCTCAAATGTCATTACGTTTTCACTGTCGAAATTAAACGGCATATGGTCTAAATCACAATCAAACCTCCCAAAGAACATCTATAACTTCACCATTCGTTACATCAATAACTCACTTCCAACTCGTAAAAACCTTACTAAATGGGGAATATTGTCCAACTCTGATTGCTCCTTCGGCTTAAACCCTGAAACCCTTTTACACGTAGTTGCTGGATGTCAAACGTATCTCCCACGATTTACATGGAGACATGATTCTGTTCTGAACTTCATAGCACAAACGCTACAACCTGTAAACAACTCCAATCTTTTCGTCGATCTTCCTGGTTACAAAAGCCCATCAATTGTAACTGGTGACACATTCCGCCCAGACCTACTTCTATCTATCAACTTGGATTGTCTCTATATCCTTGAACTTTCTGTTGGTTATGAGTCTAATCTACAAACAAATGTTGATCGGAAAAGAAGAAGATACAAAGATCTCATTACACAGCAAAAGAAACAATTTAAGTCCGTAAAATTTGTCAATTTGTCAATTAGTTCTTTAGGCGTCTTCTCAAAAGAATGTCATTCCTTTTTAGATATGTTAAATGATCTAGGTCTTGATAAAAGACACCAACATTTTGCTATCAGGAAAATTATGTCTATCGCGATTAGGACAACATATTATATATTTTGTTGCAGAGATAAGGACTGGTCAAATCCGGAATTACTGAACATTTAAGGATACTCATTATTAATATATAAATATTAAGTAGGTTCAAGTAGCCAATTATAAATTACCTAAATTAGTGAGATTTATAATTGTATATATACGTATATAATTTCAATAAAGTTTCCATTATTATTATTATTATTATTATTATTATTATTATAATAATTATTATTATTATTATTATTATTATTATTATTATTATTATTATTATGAAAAGCACCAAAAAGCTGACAAGTACCGTCAATTTGGTTTCATGTTTAACTTCCTCAATCCCATTCACTGGTTTCAATTCGCTGATGACGCGGCTGTTATCACTGGCCAAGATTATGAAAACCAACACCTCTTAAATCGATTCACAATCTGGTGTCAATGGTCGAACATGATAATCAGAGTTGATAAATGTAGCACCTTTGGCATCAAGAAAGTTTTGACAAAATCCGTTCAGTACTTACCGAAACTACTAATTAACAATGGTCTCATACCTACTATTCAAATGGGGGAATCTTTTAAATATCTAGGAAGATTCTTTGATTTTGATATGTCCGACCAAGAACACAAATCTGAACTAATGTCCCTCATTGTTGAACTAATGTCTGATATCGACCATAAACCTCTACACCCAAAAAACAAACTTATTCTATATAACCGCTACGTTCTATCCAAAATATCCTGGCATCTCACTGTTGCACCCCTGTCGAAAACCTGGGTAACGGAAACAATCGATTCTGCGATTAATCAATACATCAGAAAGTGGCTTGAAATATCCATTTCTGGAACATTAAGTAATATTTATCTAACCCATAACAAATTCGGTCTGAATATCCTCCCTGCATCCGTCAAATTTATCCAATGTCAAACTGTCCAACGCAACGCCTTAAAAGCATCCCCAAATGATTCCATAAAAGAACTCTGGAAATCAACTAACAATCACACTAATATTCAGTACGACATATATAATTCAACAAAGGAAGTTCTCAAGGTTTTTCATTCTGGACAAGAAGATAAGCTTCAACACCGTTTAATTTGTCAAGGTTCACTTTTCTCGAATGTTGCAAAGTTTTCCTTTTCACAGTTAAACACACTTTGGTCTGCCGCTCAATCAAAACTGCCAAAGAACATTTCCAACTTCACCGTCCGTTACATAAATAACTCTCTTCCAACGCGAAAAAACCTTACAAGGTGGGGTTTAGCTTCAAGTCCCGCCGGAATGTTCCTTTTGTTTGTGACCTGAAACCCTATTACATGTGGTAGCCAGCTGCCAATCGTACCTTCAGCGCTTTACTTGGAGACATGATTCTATTTTAAACTTTCTCGCTGAAACGTTTCAAACAACAAATCCATGTCAACTTTATGCTGACCTATCCGGCCAGAAAAGCCTGTCAATTATAACTGGTGACCTATATCGACCGGACTTACTCCTAATTACCCCAAATGAAGATCTTTATGTCGTTGAACTTCACTGTCGGGTTTGAGTCGAATCTACAGGGTGTATCAAAAAAAGCGCAATCCTCAACTGAAATGTAAATTGCTAAACAAATAATAGACGAAAACGTTAAAGTTTACATTCATTTTAAAGCGTAGCCATTCAGCTTTCTAACAGTGGGCTGTTTCTTAAATTTGACTCATTGGTTCGCGGGTAATAATACTTTACGTTATTGCGATTGGAGATTAAAAAAATTGAGATGGAATAACAAATCGTTCTCATGAAAATAACTGATTTTTTCATTAAAACAAAAAAATATTGCATTTTATTAAATGGATTGTAACAATAAGTATAATTACGGCTTTTCTTCCACTATTTTTAACTCAGTTTGAAACTTCAAATGCGATATAATTTTGGCTTGGACCATCTAAGCTGACTGACATCAACTTGCTATAATTTCTGTTTACATTACATCGCAATTCGATGACACTCTGGCTCAGACACCAGAATGTTTTGACGATTTTTAGCATTCGTTTAGGATTTTCAAACAACCTGGTCTCTTTTAAAATACTTTTAATTTGTTCTTACGTGGTTTTACAGATGTAGTGACGACAACATTAAAGTTTAAAGAAGAAAATTCTAACATTTAAACCGACTAAACAATAACATAGTAAACTTGCATAATTAAACAGCAACTAAAAATGATAGGTTTTACTAAATCTTTTCCTGTGCAATTATTACTAGCATTGGAGACAAGGATAATAGTTTGTTTAAAAGAAAAAAGAACAGGCTTTGAAGTAAGCCTAAAAGCGTTTAACTAGAAATAGTATTTCGAAAGTTATTAAGCACAAAAGATGAATTGCGTTTATTTTGATACACCCTGTAGTAATAACGTTGAACGCAAAAAAGCTAAATACAAAGATCTAATTGAAGATCAAAGGGGTCACTTTAATTCTGCTAAATTTGTAAACCTATCAATGAGCTCTCTCGGTGTGTTTGACAAAGAATGCTTCACCTTTTTAGAAATGTTAGACACTATAGGAATGGATAAAAAGCAGCAACATTACTGCATAAAAAAGATGACGTCTTATGACATTAGAGCGACGTACTATATTTTTTTGCTGTCGAAACAAAGAGTGGACAAACCCTGAATTGTTAAACATTTAAATTAATAACTACATATAACAACATATATAATCATATACCCATTTTATTCTTGTTTTTACTGTAAATAGAACATATGTAGTACTCTGTGATTCATGTAGCCAATTGTAAATTACCTAAGTCAGTAGTGAGATTTACAATTGTATATATACGTAAAAAATACAATAAAGTTTCCATTATTATTATTATTATTATTATTATTATTATTATTATTATTATTATTATTATTATTATTATTATTATTATTATTATTATTATTATTATTATTATTAATGGTTTATTATAAAATCATCGCGCTCGAAAGCGAATTGCGAAGTTATTTACAAACTTTAGTTAAAAATATTAAAAAGTACTTGTGTTACAGGCATTATATTACAACAATTGTTTACTGATCTATGAATTAATGTCGGAAGATAAAAGTACTTTTATATTTACAAAATTTACAAAATTTACAAGTTATGTGATTGAATACACATAGTAGGAAAAAAGCTTTTCACAAAGCCTTAGTCACAAAGTCTTACCACAGTTAATAGAAATAGGATGGTTTGGAAAGCCGGCGAACTTCAAAGAGCGGCCGCAAATATGTTGCGCCACAAAGGAAGTGAAAGTCACGTGTCAAATAGTGTGCATGCTCTCGAGCGAAGTACTTAAGTAGTCAAACCCCACTACAACTTTTTTCTTAGTTTTTAAAGAGAT